GCATTTTTCATTTGGCTTTATTTGAGTGATAAAGTATAATTTATATCTTGCCTGACACAGGACCGCTCTGTCAGGGTTCAGGTTATGGATATTTCGGCTGTGTATTGGAGCTGAAATCTCCGCCTGTTTGAGCGCTCTGTTCTCTAAGCTGAAAGCCAGGGTGTGGGGGCTGTATTTGCAGAGGGCTGTCTTCCTGGTGTGGTATGTAGAGCCCGAGGGGAGATTCTGAGGACCCTTTCAGGAGGTTTCCTAGGACAACACTGTTGTTACACCAATGCTAAGACGTTACTTTCTTTTTTTCTCTGTGTTGACATTTGCACTGATTGTGCAAAAACAACGAGGGTGTGTAAACGGTTGGTGGCTTAGCTTGAATCAGTCCAGACAATGGCACCAAACTCTACTAGTCATATTCTTCACTGCCATTCATTTGCAGTTAACAAAAAAAAAAAGGGGGGGGTCAATATCTCATAAGAATATCCCTGATGAAGCAGTACCAGTGAAATTATCAGTTGCATTAAATCTCAACCCTGAGTGCGTGTTGTTGTAATGTTCTTGATCATGAAGTGGGGTGCTCACAGGAAGTCCTGCGCTGTGCTGAAAAGCCATGGTGTTGTGGGGGAAAAGCACTTGGGTAATTGTTTGAGTGGCAAGATAAATGAGCTTGGTGTTTTTCCACAGGACAGAATTTTTCTCAAAAGAATGACTAATTGGCAAACTATGGCTATTCAGACTTGACATTTTTCTCAAAGACAAATGAAGGGAGCTTGTCACTTCAAGGAAAACAGTTGACAGTGTTTATTTTGAATGGTATAAAGTCAAGCTTTTAAGCCAAAACTTTAAATTTTGGAAAACCTGTATTAACCATTGTAAGCTTGCCAATAACTGTAGTTTTTGATGAGGTCGTGGAGATTTACTAAAGGGATTTCTGATAGATAGTATGGCATGAAACGTCAGTGCCGGCATCTGGAAGATCTACTTTAAGTCAGAGAGCCAGTATTTTCCAAATGTCTACTCCATGATGTGACATAATTTTGCATGGGTGAAAGATAGTCAAGGTAGGCTGGGCTTGGTAGCTCACGCCTGTGATCCTAGCACTCTGGGAAGGCAAGGCAGGTGGATCGCTTGAGCTCAGGAGTTCAAGAACAGCTTGAGCAAGAATGAGACCCCATCTCTACTAAAAATAGCAAAAAAAAAAAAAACAAAAACAAAACTGGCTGTTATGGCGGACACCTACAGCCCCAGCTATTTAGGAGGCTGAGACAGGAGGATCACTTGAACCCAGGAATTTGAGATTGCTGTGAGCTAGGCTAAAGACATGGCACTCTATCTTAGGGTAACAGAATGAGACTCTGGCTCAAAAAAAAACAAAAACAAAAAACACTGTACAAAATAGATCAATGAATTTTAATGTAACTGATACAATTTCAGAGTCCATGTTGCAACTTACCTTTATGAAACATCCACTTGGCTGAGGGCAATGGCTTATACCTATAACTCCAGCACTTTGGGAGGCCAAAATGGGAGGATCACTTGAGTCCAGGAGTTTAAGACCAATCCAGGAAACATAGTGAGACTGCCTCTACAAAAAATAAAAATATTAGCCCATGTGGTAGGGTGTGCCTTAGTCCTATCTTCTCTCAAGGCTGAGGCAGGAGGATTGTTTAAGCCCAGGAGTTGAAGGTTACAGTCAGCTTTGATTACACTACTGCACTCCAGCCTGGCAAAAGAGGGAGACCCAGTCTCTGAAAAAAAAAAAAAACAAACAAAAACAGAAACCATACAACACAATAACAGCAATAAAAAAGAACTACTTGTCAGGCTGGTATGATGGCTCACACCTGTAATCCTAGCACTTTGGGAAGGTAGGGTGAGAGGACTGCTTGAGGCAGGAGTTCAAGATTAGTCTGTGTAGCATGGTGAGACCTTGTCTATACAAAAAAGTTTTAAAATTATCTGAATGTAGTAGCATGTGTCTGTAGTCCCAGATACTTGGGAGGCTGAGTGAAGGATCACTTGAACCCGGGAGTTTAAGGTTGCAGTGAGCTATGATCATGCCACTGTACTCTAGCCTAGGCAACAAAGTGAGACCCTGTCTCAAGGAAAAAAGAAAAATTGAAAGAAGGAAACCATTTGGCTGGGCATGGTGGCTCATACCTGTAATCCCAGCACTCTTGGAGGCTGAGGCGGGTGGACTGTGTGACCTGATGAGTTTGAGACCAGCTTGAGCAAAAGCGAGACCTCGTCTCTACCTAAAATAGGGAAACTGAGGCAGGGGGATCACTTGACCCTGAGTTGGAGGTTGCTGTGAACTATGACACTACAGCACTCTACAGAGGGCGACAGCTTAAGACTCTGTCTCAAAAAAAAAGAAAGAAACCATTTGTCGAGTTTTGGTGTTTTATCAAAGAATAATATTCGTGTTTTTCTGAAAAAGCTATTTAATACTCCTTTCTTTTCTAATCACATGTCTGTGAAAGGCAAATTTTTTTCCCACATACCAACTAAAACAACAGAGTGTACCAGATTCATTGCGGAAGTAGATAGGAGAATCTCACTGTCTTCAGTTATGCCTGACATTAAAAGAATTTGCGGAAAATGTAAAACAGTGCCAGCCTTCTCATTATATATATTTTTGTTTTGGAGAATGCAATTATTTTCATAAATATTATTTATGTTTAGCATGTATGGATTTATTCTTGTTATTTTTGATAAGTTACTATTTAAAAATTTTCTCAATTTGGCTAGGCATGGTGGCTCACGCCTATAATCCTAGCACTCAGGGAGGCGGAAGCGGGTGGATTGCCTGACCTAACAGGTTCGAGACCAGCCTGAGCTAGAGCAAGACCCTCTCTCTAAAAAATAGCAGGTGTCGTGGTAGATGCCTGTAGTCCTAGCTATATGGGAGGCTGAGACATGAGAATCTCTTGAGCCTAAGAGTTTGAGGTTGCTGTGCGCTGTGATGCCACGGCATTCTACTGAGTGCAACAAAATAAGACTCTGTTTCAAAAAAAAAAGAAAATCTCAATTTTAATTTCTAACATGGTAAATACCAAGAGATTATAACCACTGATGTGCTGAAGCTGGGTTATACTGGCTTGTGAAAGCCATTTATATCATATTTTTCCAACCTTCTGTCCATTGATGGCTTGAAATAGCCATAATGAGAGTAATTACATGGTAAATAATGCATCTCAGCAAAAGCTACAAATCAGGGTGCCCCCCTTCCGAGATCTGACTATTAAATGATTATCAGTACTACAAGCATAGGCTCTTTAGGGTCATCAATAATTTTTAAGAGAATAAAGATGCCTTGAGGTGAAAAAGTCTGAGAATTAGTTGTGTAGAGAAAGGGGTATCTTTGATAATCAGTCAGCATGAAGGTGGGTGCCTTTTTGTATTTCACACAGAGTTGCCTTTTGTGTTAGGACCATGTGTAGATTCAACCCAGTGCCTTTTAACTAGTAGTTGTTAAATGTGCTGGTTCCGCGTGAGATGGCCTTTTTCTTTTCCCCTGGGGGGAGGGTATGACTCAGGGGAAGGTGGGCTGAATTTGCCCCTGGAGCTGCATATTGGTTTCCTCTGCCCTGGTTTCTCACTTGTGTTCAGCCGTTATCCAGGTTCAGATCAAGGGCCGGCTCCAGCTCCAACTCGTACACAAAGCCTTCACTTACTGTGCAGGGCCATACCGATCTTTCCACTCTGTCCTTCTGTGATACCCATTGCTATGCAATGGGGCAATTAGCTCTATACTATGTGGTGTGCTGTTGCTCTTAGGTGTTAGTTTTATTAGTTCTACTTTGTGCCCGTTGTACTAGGAGCACCGCACCTAACACAATGCTTAGCACACAGGTTCTCCTGCACGGGTGGAAGATTTGCCACTTTTGGATTGTCAAAGACATTTGCTTTCCAAGGGAATGACAATGCAAATAAATCTTCCAGTTCTTTTCACAAACCCAGTGTTTAATAATTCTTTCAGAGTGTTAGCGTAAGTAGGTTAGAAATCACCCATGTTCCTTCAGGCGAGGTCACACACAGAGGCTGCCTTCAAAATTTGTTCTCCATCCTGTAGTTCTGCTCCCACTCGAATAGAAACCAGTGGCTTATTTCTAGGTTTTTGGACTGTTTGAGTTAAGTCACAATGAATAGTGACTCTTAGTAAAATGAGGCGAAGTTTCTAAAATTATACTAACTTATAGGACAGAGTTGTTTGCTAACTAGAAAATTTAGCAGGGTTGAGTCCAGTGGAGTGGAGGTATTGTGTTTTGCCGGTAGGGATCTCTCTCTGTTAGAAAGCATCAAAGTTGCTAGGAGATGACTTGTTTTCTCTTATCTCTGCCCAAGCTAAGTGGTAGTTGTGGCCTTTCCTCTGGATGCTCCTTCTGATGGAGACTAAAAGTCTTAGGAAGCCTCGCCAGCTCCAAGGCATGAGCTTTCTCTGGGTCAGAGACACTAAGGGCTTGCAAGCTCCTGGAATTCCTTTGGCCTGTGCCTTTTTTGTGATTACGAGGGCATGAAAGTAGCTGCAGTTTTTATCCTTATGGAGAAAAACATCAGCTTACCTCTAGAGCAATACTAGAGTATCACATGTCAAACATTTCATTTATTAAAAAAATAATTCACCATATTTAAAGTCTACCTCCAATTTCTCTTAAGAAGTTATACTCTGGCCTAAAAAGGCTTCACTGTTAGTAGTGGTGTGAGGTTGTAGTGAGGTAGTTAAACTGCTTTGGAACGTTGTGCTTAGAACATTCTCGGCCACCGAAGCATGGGCACTGCGAGTGAGGAGCATGTGTTCTGTAATACCTATCACATCAGAGAATGACTGTTCCAGGACAGTGACCGCCTCCCCATGGTAAGTACCCCGGCTTGCTTGTCATTTCTCAGAAGCAGGAAAAAGGAAAGAGGAATAGGCCAATCAGAACAGTGAGTGCAATTTCTGAAGAATAAACAAAACCCCCCAAAGGTCCAGCTTTAATCCTCCATACTGATCATTTTTGCAGGTTTCTGTAGCGGGATCAGGCACCGGAAGAGGCTCCCCCGCTGTAACTCTAGTGCAGTTACCCTCGGGCCAAACTGTGCATGTCCAGGGAGTAATTCAGACACCACAGCCATCGGTCATTCAGTCACCACAAATACAAACTGTTCAGGTTAGCTTTCTTCCTGGATGATTTGTCTTTGACTTTTTGAGCTTTTTTTTTTTTTTTTTTTTTTTACCCTTCTATTCATGTATCATCGTTTTTCTTTTCCTAGCTTTTATGCTGAAATCTTTTGATTAGATGTTTGGAAGAATTCCTTTTGCATGGATAAAGTGCATTGCACCCTGCTAGGCACATAGCTTGGACCTGAGAGGTACAGTTTCGTCATCAGCTCTTATTCTGCAGAATGTTCACTGCCAGGTGAACATTCACGTCGTCTTCTAATTGTCGTTCTGAGCTCAAAATGAGGTTCATTCAGCCGAGCTCTCCAATAGTGCTTAAAAATACTTTTAAGGGTTCTTTGGAGAAGATGTCTGATAAACACAATCCTATAAAGATTAGAGAATTGATGTTGTTTTCATGGATACATTAGTAGGTAGGTAGAAACAGATTTATTTTAGATTCAGTATATCTCATCCTTAGGAAGTAACGTAACCTGCTTGTCACTTGGGCGTCCGTGTGTCATGTGTCTCTCTCAGATATACTTGGCTTTTGAAGATGGGATTATTACTATGGTCGTGACCCAGAGATGTCTTTTACTAGTTGTTATTATCAAGGATGGTCGTAAACCTTGGAGGTAAAACATTGCTTTCATCCACCGATGTAAATTATCACGTGGGCATTTTTTAAAGCATGCTTTTCTTTCTGAACTTATTTCTGTTCCTTTTTTAGATCAGTTTGTCATTATTCTTTAAATGGTATAAATTATTTAAACTGAAGTGATAACAACCACCACAAAAGAAATCTGTGAGGGGAATGGAGATGCACATATCCTCAGTCTTGTCCTTTTCCTGCCATGTCTGAGTACAGTTTATCCCAGAAAAAGAATGAGGGCAGCATTCTGATATTCGAACTGAGAAATCCACAGTAAAGCTCGGCTGGCTTTGCAGCACCGGTATCTTTGCCTGTGTTGCTTAGAAGTGTAAGAGTCATTCTCATCATCTTTTTCTTTTTTGGGTGATGACCCTTGATGCCAACTCCTTCCGACACTAACTAAGAAAGTTCTTCCACTCACTTCCTTGCATTATGACTTTTGTTGGGGTGCAGATTTTTCCACTTAGGTTTTGTTTTGGTTTTTTTTTTCCAGTCTCACAGATGTCTTTCAGGTTTTCTTTGTTAGCTGGTATTAGCAGACCGTGTTATATTTAGTAGCCCTTTTTTATTTTGCTAAGTGAATGCATCAGTTGTCTTTGTGAATGAAGATCAACGCCATGGATCTGGTCTTAGAATTCCTTAGCTACTGGACCATAGGCAAGTCACTTAATCTCTGCATGAGTTCAGCTTTTACCTTTCTAAGAAGGGTGAAACCATAGCCTGCCTCCCATCTGAGAGTTGTTATGATTATGACAGATGGGTGAAAATCCAGTGGAAAGTGGTATTTGGCCGTGCTGCATGACTCTCTGATGCCACAAGTTGTTGCAGTAAGTTCTTTTCACTGGGCGTGGGCTTACGTATGGGGTATCCATGAGAGAAGTGTAGCCACGGGTAGGTGAATTTATATCCACATCCATGCACTTTGGGAACTAGATATTCGCGCTTGCGTTGTTGACATTTTAATAAATTCTTTCGATTTTGCCTGAGTCAATTTCTTGTGTCATTATAATATGAATAATTATGAAGCTTTGCAAACTCAGCTACACTAGACCCTCCGAGTGACATAGCTGAAGGTAACTGATGACAGTCATGTTGTTGAAGAGATTCATTCTTTGAGTTTTCTGACTTTCCTTGATAATCAAATGATTGCATTATTACCTACCTTGAACAATGAAATCATGCTTAAAATTCTGATCTTTCTTCTAAGGAGAAATTCCTTATTTGGACCTTTCAGGGTCTATCACCATCAAACCCTAACCTACTCCTTGTAATACAGGTCCTGACTCTGACCAGCCTTGTTTACTGACTCGCTTATCTAGTGCATGTTCTTCCTTCTCTGGGCCCCTCTACGGGCCAACAGGGAAGACCCAGCCCATGTCAGCGGCGACAGTGTGAGGAGAGTAGGGAGATCCAGACACTCTCACCTGCCTCCACCACTGGCTGGCTCCCTTCCTGCTGGATCTGCAGGGCACTTCTTGGCTTAGGATCTCAGGCCTATGGATTTTATGTCTTGTCATTTCCTGTGAAGCCTCATTGGATCTTCCATCCACTCTTGCCATTGCATTTCTGTTGCATTTTCTGCACCCCTCCTATGCATGTGTGTTTTATAGTGTTTTGAGTGTTTTGTGTTTGTGTTCCCTTCCCTGAGCCAGGTGGTGAGCTCCTTTAGGGCAGGTTCTCTGTGTTTACGCAGCCTGGTTGCCCCCCAAAGCCTTGGCTCAGTGCTGCACACACAGACCCTTAGCCACCATTTTTTGAATGCCCTAAAAGATCATATATTTTATGATGCATTTTAGAAAATCTTGTATTATAGGTAGCAACAATTGCAGAGACAGATGAGTCTGCAGAATCAGAAGGTGTAATTGATTCTCATAAACGTAGAGAAATCCTTTCACGAAGACCCTCTTATAGGTAAGTTTTCAGTTTCCTGCTTAATTGTACTTTTCCAGAAAGGTAGAGTAATAATTATATATCCAGGCGATTCTTCCTTTATAACTTTCCTGATGCAAGTCTCATTCCTGTTTCTTACTTACACCGTTAACTTATCTTTTAGAAAAATACTGAATGAAATTTCCTCTGATGTGCCTGGTGTCCCCAAGATTGAAGAAGAAAAATCAGAGGAAGAAGGAACTCCGCCTAACATCGCTACCATGGCAGTACCGACTAGCATATATCAGACTAGCACGGGGCAATACAGTATGTATGCTGCGATTCGATACCATACAGTGCTCGCTTTAAGTCTTCTCTAGCCACAGTGAAGCAACCCAGGTTTGGGCATTAAATCGTCCCACTTTCAGATGCATCATTAATGCCTAAACTGTGTACCATAGAATGAAAAGTACGCGTTAAAGAAGTGAGAGATGTATACTGACAGCTGTCATATACTGCGGAAAAGTAAACCGTTTTTATTGCTGACCATAGAAGAAAACTTTGGGGTTAAAATTAAAAAGGGGTTTTTAGAATTTACATGTTAATAATCTCTAGTAAAAGCTTAAAACTTGTTTTTTGTTGTCTTTATGATGCATGCAACCATAAGATATAAATGTCTGTATTTCCTCCTTCCTGGCTTTTGTTACCAACGATTACGTATTATATTTACTAATCTAAACGAGGTACGGACGTTTTCCAAGCTATGTTTTAAATGTAATTCTGTTTTCACTACTCTCGATTGTGTTAATTTGTGCTGCGGTTCTTCCTAAAAGAGAATGGAAAAATAATTTTTAAAACTATAGCAATTGGATAGATCATTTTATTTGAAATTTTACACCCCTAAAGCTCCAAATAAACAGATACATTTCATGTTTAGTCTTGTGCATTTTAATGGACTGTTAATTCTGTGCTTTTTGCTTTAATTAAAGCACTAATATTTTCCAGTCAAGAACGTTTGACACATTAAACTAGTAAAACCTAACGACGAGAGAGAAAAGAAAAGGTGGAGGGAAGGGCCAGGGTGGGGGTTAAAGCGGCTTAGGTATTGGAATATTTAAGATATTAAATACTGTTTCTCCAAATAAGATGTAAAGATTTATAATTATGTTTTTCCTGGCTTGGCGCCTGTGGCTCAAGTGGCTAAGGCGCCAGCCACATATACCTAAGGTGGCGGGTTCGAATCCAGCCTGGGCCCGCCAAACAATGACAGCTGCAATGAAAAAATAGCCAGGCGTTGTGGCGGGCACCTGTGGTCCCAGCTACTTGGGAGGCAGAGGCAGGAGACTCGCTTGAGCCCAGGAGTTGGAGGTTGCTGTGAGCAGTGATGCCAGGGCACTCTGCCTAGGGGGACAGCTTGAGGCTCTGTCTCAAAAAAAAAAAAAAAAATTTATAATACTATGTTTTTCCTTTAAAAAGTAGCAACACCTAGGGAAAAAAATGCTAATACCTGGCTCTTAAAACAAGCTGTAATCTTAGGTAAGACCTTATATAGTCATTCAATTTTTGGAGTTTTTAGAGTTTTTCCTGTAATAGGGGCAGATTTGCAGTATTAAACTATTAAATAAATCCTCATTTGGTCATTTGGGTAGCCCCCCCCGTGATAGCTGGCAGAACTGGGGTGTAGTATATGCATAACTGCTGCAGTTCCCTGAGTGGACGTGTCCAAACCCAGTATTAGGAAGAGAAGATTCCTGCCTGTCTGTATGAAATAAACCTTGAGCTTTATACTATCATTTCAATTTTATTCCTTCTCTGGTTTATAGGTTTTTTTGTTTGGCCCCCTGGGAATATCTGGTGGGTTTTAGAACTTTAAGTCTAATTTTGCCAGTGGCTGTGCCTGTGTAGGGCAGCAGGCAGCTTCATCCATTTACCCCAGAGCTGTCCACCCACCATCGTTTTCTATTTGTGCCATGACAGGAAAAGGGCCAGAAATCACTGCTGAAATCATGCTCAGACTTCTTAAAATTCTGAGGCCCATCTAGGATGCCATCATCTTAACATTCCTCTGGCATACCCTAACGCTGCTGAGGAATTGTGATAGAGCAGCGACCCTTTTACCAGGGCAGTGGGTGCTGCGCATTGATTTGCCCACATTATGGCTGAAAATTTGAAATGGTGACAACGTAAGAGGTTGAGAGAACGTTGACATTTGAGACGGTGGAGAGAAGGAACCTCGGTCATGTGCCAACTCACTGACCAGAGCATTAAGCTTTATTGAATTTGCATATCAGGTTTTAGTGTTGGAAGTGGGGATCATACTAAATTGCCAGTCTCCCGGGGTTAGTGTGAAGACACAAGAAGGCACCAGGTAAAAAGTAGGGGGAAGAAAGAAGGCTGCTTTTGACACGAGACACAGCAAGTGAGGGCGGGCGCTCGGGCAGGGGCTCATTCCTGCTGGCTCCACTTTCCCCTCCAGCCAGCTCCAAAGCCTTCATTCCTCAGGCCCTTGGGGCCTGCTGGGAGCAGGGGCTGAGCGGGGAGAGTCAGAATTCTGGTTGACAGCTAGAAAACTGCATGATTAGAAATTAGACATTTATCTCTTTCACACGAGAGGTCAAATGATGTCATGGACTGTTTCTCACTTAGGTTTCTTAATTTGGGTTTATACAGTATGAGCCTGAAAATTATTTTCATGAGAGATTGCAGTTATTCCGTGTGTACGTCTGCAGGTAAAAATCGCCATTTATGGGTTTACACAAAGCAGTACTGCCTTTGTTAAAAATGCATTTTAGGGGCCACGTGCTGTGGCTCATGCCTATAATCTTAGCATGTTGGAAGGCCAAGGTGGGAGGATCACTTGAAGCCAGGAGTTTGAGACCAGCCTGAGCAAGAGGGAGACCCTGTCTCTACTAAAAATAGAAACATTAACCAGGTGTTGTGGCAGGCACGTGTGGGTCCAGCTACTTGGGATGCTGAGGCTAGAGGATCTTTTGAGCCCAGAAGTTTGACGTTGCAGTGAGCTACTATGATGACATCTCACTTTAGCACAGGTGACAGAGCAAGACCCTGACTTAAAATAAAGAGATGCATTTTTAGAACATTTAATGGCACTTGGTTATGTAGATAATTCATTTGAGAAGTGCATGCTAATGTTGAACCTTTTAAGATGACATTTACAATACTTTAGTTGGAGGGTAAATATATATTTACATATATACAAGATCCATTTTTATTAAGAATCTTTCTTGGCTCAGCACCTGTGGCTCAAGTGACTAAGGCACCAGCCACATACACCTAAGGTCACGGGTTCGAATCCAGCCTGGGCCCGCCAAACAATGATGATGGCTGCAGCAACAACAAAAAATAGCCGGGCGTTGTGTCTGGCGCCTGTGGTCCCAGCTACTTGGGAGGCGGAGGCAGGAGACTCGCTTCAGCCTAGGAGTTGGAGGTTGCTGTGAGCTGTGATGCCACAGCACTCTACCCAGAAGGACAGCTTGAGGCTCTGTTTCAAAAAAAAAAAAATTTCTCACTAGGAATAACTTAACAGATATTAATGCTTTAATCTTACACCTAAATATCTAGAAATAGAAACAATTACCAATATCCTTTGGTTTTTAGAATAGAAGCGTTTATTTCACTATGATTTCTGGAGATTTTTTTGAGACCTTTTTATCACCTTTTATTATAAATTTTTTTAGCTTTAATTCTTTCTTCATCCATAGATGACTTCCCCCGGAACTTTGCTTTTATGTCTTTTATTTGCAAAGGTTATTATTTTATTATTTCTTTTTAATTTGGTAAAATGAGTTAGCTGGTATGAAAAGCAAAACAAACCGGTGTGTGTCAAAGTTAAAGAAACCTAATAATGTATGCTCAGGTTTTCCCATCTACACGTAGCTGCATTTTTCTTTCTTTTCTTTTTTTTTTTAATTAAATCATAGCCGTGTACATTAATGCAATCATGGGGTACAATGTGCTGGCTTTACATACAATTTGAAATATTTTCATCAAACTGGTTAACATAGCCTTCACGGCATTTTCTTAGTTATTGTGTTAAGGCATTTATATTCTACACTTAGTAAATTTCACATGTACCCTTAATGTAGTTACATTTTTAATAGTTGAGAGATAGTTGACATAAGTTGGCCTTAATGTTTCAAATTTTTTTTTTTTAATCACAAAAACTAAAAAGTAAAAGTTGGAGTGGAATGGACTACTCTGGGAGGGGAGTGGAAGAATAACCTAGAATACACAGGGATTCATTATTACAATACCAAGTTAATGACCTATACTTCTAAAGCCTTCACTGTAAGCACAGCTCTCAGTGATAGGTATGTTTGATAATAGTTATGTGATTCTGGTGAAAGAAAATCTATTTTGTCTCAGGAGTATATATCTGGAAGATGGCCATTAAGATAGTCTTAGAATTAGCAAACAATGTTACTTGCTGTGTAAGATATTTAAGATATGCCTTTAATGAATAAATTCACAAAAGTAACTAAAGAAATTAAAATGCTCTAAGTTTCTTCATTCATTAAATTTTATCTTAACAGAAAAGTTGCTTTTGTCTTTTGTTTTGTTTTTTGAGATAGTATCTCACTCTGTCGCCCTGGGTAGAGTGCCATGGCTCATCAAAGCTCATAGCAACCTCAGTCTCCTGGGCTCAAGTGATCCTCTTGCCTCAGTCTCCCAAGTAGCTGGGACTACAGGCACCTGCCATGAGCCCAGCTAATTTTTCTATTTTAGTATAGATGGGGTCTTGCTCTTGCTCAGGCTGATCTGGAATTCCTGAGCCCAAGTGATCCTCCCAGAGCACTGGGATTATAGGAGTGAGCCATGGAGCCAGGCCCAGAACAAAGTTGTTGTTTTTTTTCTTTTTTTAATACCCCATCCTACTATACCTGTCCTCTTCCCTTACCATTTAAGGACTATTACCAAAGACTTCGAATTTGTTTTTGTAAATGCCCCTTGTCTCTGATTGCTCCTACTTTATTTGACTAGGAATCTTATTAGAATGACTCTATTAACCCGTCTTTACTGAAGTTCGTCCACACTAAAGGTAAAAGAGTCGATCCAGAATTCACCATTATGAAAAGATAAATGTGAACTTTGTGGACTGCTTTAAGAATTCAGAATTCTCAGGAGACACATGAATAACACCAACCCACTGTTTCATAAAGGGAATTGACACATGACAGGCTTATACATTCTAAAGTAAATGCAGTTGTATTTTTCATTCTTTTTTTTTTTTTTTTGAGACACAGTCTCAAGCTTGCATTGGGTAGAGTGCCGTGGCATCATAGCTCACAGTAACCTCTACCTCTTGG